TGGCCATCAATGGCCTCTGCTGTTGCGTTCTCTTTTCTGATGTTGTTCAAATCTTCCATCTTGCTTTTGTTCTTGTTCTTAACAGGACTAAGAGGAGGAGTGGGTGGAGGGCCCCTGGATCTCGTGGAATAAGATGATGTTGCCAGAGTGCACGAACTAACCTTTGGGGAGGGGAATAACAAAACAGAAATAAAACAAAAAAAGGTAACCAAGTTAGTGAGGGTCATAAAAATTATTGCAATATTTAAATACGTAGTGCAGGAATGTAAAGCGTGTCCTAATTTGGGGACCTCGTTGTGCCCGAGGTAGGCCTAGCGACAGATTGATTTGGAGAACTTAGAATGCTAAATGCCTCATTTTATTGATAAAAATAAGACGAATCCCAAATTGACACTAAATAAACAAGAAATCAAAGTTACTAATGGCCATTGGCCTTGTTACATTTTAAAACGAAAAGGATAAACTCCTATCTACTTGGTCCCAGAAGGACCTTCCCCAGATTCGGCATCTTTGGCTCCGTCGAACAGCTTCCCCAACTCGCGAAGTCCCAGCAACAGGTACGCTCTCGCTAGATGTCCACCTTCGGTCCCTTCAGCCTCTTGACAGTCTTCAACCCTTTTGAGATTTTGTCACTAGAATGCAAATCTTCCCATCAACTCAGCAATCTTGGGTGGATTTTGGTGACCATGCCAAATCCGGGGACTTCATGCCTCATCTTTCTGCAAGACAAACAAGGTTAGGCCCTTACCCCCACCAGACTCGACTATTTAACATCAACAATTAGTATGAAGCATCTAGTTCTCCAAATGAATGCACAGAACGTGGTGACGCCCGTTAGGGTTTAGGGAAACCCAATGGACTTTGGACAAGGCTATCTTAAAAGATCATTATGGGGACAACATAACTGATCCGGCTAGGTTTGACCATGATGCATGAGCAATTGGAATAGAGTAAGGTTTCTATGGGGTTTTAGATTAGTACCCTTGAGCGGACAACTCAAGGGGGAAGGCTCGGAACTATCGACTGCACCGTTGATCGACTAGTTTTACCGCAAATATGCCTTTCCAAATTTAGGGGGTAATGATATAGGAAGAGCGCAACCACTCATTATAAGCGTTGCTATAGTATTTGTTTGGCACGAGTGGAGTATGATGTTGAGCATGATTATGCAATAATTAAAAGCATGTTGACATATATTTGCATGTTAAGAAAGCGATAAATACAGCAGTTGCATAATTTAAAGCAACAAAGGAAAGAAAACAAAGGAGATATGTCTGTTTTGCTTTTAAAGAAGAAATATAATGCTCAAAGGAATTAAAACAATAATTGCACATAGGGAGAGGTACAAATTCACAAGAACAATCTGAAATGGTAAAAGCCTAAAAATCCCAGCAGAGTCGCCATGTTGTCCCGCCCCCTTTTTTTTCTTCCCCTTCCATCGGGGAGGAGTACGGGTTTCGACATTCATGGGGTGTAAAGACTCATTTCCTTTTGGGAATTGGGTATTTTGAAGAGTCGCCACCTAACGATTTTTAAGGTGCGTTTGGGCACCTATAGGGTTCAACTACAACTACATTGGATAACCAAAGATAGGGTAGGGCTTGAAATTATCCCAAGGGGAAGGTGTTAGGCACCCCTCAGGATCCACTAGTGTGGTTCCCGGCCAGATAGTTTTTTGTGAATTTGTGCAATTAGCAAGTAAACAAATAAGGCTCAAATAATAGGGGATTTTAAATTTAAATACACAAGTGTTTGAAAAACAATAAAAACAAGGTTTGAAAAGAGTTATAATCTAAGCATGCTTGTGAATGAAAAAGGGGTCCTATGTTTGTTTGTAATATGGATCACATCAATGCAATACCCGGTAATCACTCCTCAAAAGAGGGGCTACACGTGGTATTAGCGCACCGGTCATCGTATCCATATCTACCCTTCCCACCCCGTGAAGGTATTAAAGCGAGGATTGGTCTCGACCTCTATTGCATGCTGTTACCCGTCCCATTCCTATCAGTCCCGGAGGAATTTAGGACTACTATTCCTATAAGAAGGAAGTTCTAAGCTGACTCTTAGGTTTAAAGGTAAAATGCTAAGGCGACATACAAAACAAGTAGAACTGCATTTAGAGGGGAAACATATAAATAATTAAAAGGCTCATGTATAGCTCCGCAAATAATGCATATAAGCAGCATGACTTAAACACAGTTAAAGTCAGAAATTTAAATCCTAAAGCAGGGTGTTTGAGTCAGAACCACATTCATTATATAACTCAGAAAATAAGTCTGAATCAGGCCTGTCTGCTGGTTGTAGCAGTTGATAATTAAACAGAGGCAGTTCTAGTTTTATCTAAGTAATTACCTAAGGCTTGCCTAGGCGTGAACAGGATTCAGTAGTTATTCAGGATTACTGACAGTTGGAGACTATTGTTATTACCTAAACATGTTGTTCTAGGTGTTCAGCACATAGAAATTATGGCCAATTAGTTGTAAAGACTAAATGAAATTGTTTTATTCCTTTTCATGCATTCGTAATTAGCCTAAGTGTGCTTAAGCGAATATAAGTGAGATCCTAAAGACATGGTATCTAAATGAAAAGAGGTGCAGAATGATGTATATATGCAGAATCCTAAACAGGATTTCTATATGCAAAAATATTACAGTTACTAGGGCATGCAGAGATGATATATTCGTTAATGTTGTTTAGCCTAAATAGGATCTCTAAGTGTACATGGCAGTAGGAACATGATTGCAGAAATACCGGTTATTAATACATCTAACGCAGGAATTGCTAAGTGGTATGATAGTGAAATGGACATGCTGAAAAATGATAAGTGTAAATCCTAAGGAACAGGATCTCTAATGCATGAAATGAGTCCTAAGCATGGATTCTATTGCGCAAGTAGGAATGTAAACCTAGTAACATGCTTTCTACCCTTTTAATAGCTAAAACATGCATATTCCCCATCCCTTTTCACTAGCCAACCCCATAATGTTTATAAATTATTACAGACCAAATGATTGAATTACAAAAGGAAGTGCAGAATAAGAAATTACAACCAAAGGAAGCCTGATCTTGACTTCTTCTCTGAGTTGTGTAATTAATCACTTCAATGCAAATATTTCAAAGCCTTTCTGATATCTGGGTATGTCAAAGTTCCCTAAGGGCCTCAAGGGATCCCGGGCAGTGCTCACACCCAGATTTGCATAATCAAATAGAACTAGTGCAGTGTGGAAGGGCCGGCCCTTATGTGTCCAAGTTCAGAGGGAGCTCAAGGGTCCCAAGGCAAGGCTCACACAAGAGGGGCAGAACCTAGATTCTAAGAGTATAGTGAAAGTGCAGAACACATGTTGAAAGAGATTTGTTTAAAGAAGTTGTACGAACAGTCCATTTTGAAAGCAATTAGTGACAGAGGTGATTGAAACAGTTGTAAATTAAACTCAAATTCCCAAGATGGGATCACACACAGAATCACAGTCATACAAAGGGGTCAAGGGGTTTGGGACACACATACATCTGACTGTGAACACATAACCCCATTGGTCTCAGGACTAGTTGGACATGCACAGCAATGGCTGATACTGGCATGATCACAGGCTAGTCAGAAAGAACATAATCACATTGAGGGAATAGGGACTTAGGATAGCAAGTTCATAGTAAGTGACAAACATAAGGGAGTGCATTAATCTAGAGGGAAAGGGGATATTACAGCATGCTAGTAACGTAACTTGACTGCAGAACCACAAGCAGAAGTAAACAAGAATGAGGGAAACTGAAACAATTAAAGAAGCATATTGTTGTTGAGGCTTGAAAAATTAACTAGGACATACCTGTAGAGAAAGCAAGGTGCAGAAAGGTAAAATAAGCAGGATTCCACAGTCTAGCTTTGGCTTTCAGCCGGCTAGACAAAGCAGTAGCACAAGTAATAATAGAGAAGGAAAGAGTTTTGAGTGTGTAAGTGTGTGTTCTGAACTCAATTGTTCGTCTTTTGAAAGAAGAGAGGCTAGGGTATTTATAGTTTTGAAAACGAGTGAAGAATAAGGTAACAAGTAAAGTTTCAACTCAAACATGGAAATAACCACAATCAGAATCAATTAACACAAGTACTTCCTTTTAATCAGGGAATCACAGCTTGAACGGATACTAACGGGGTCAAACAAAGGAAAGAAATCAGTTTGGGATAGATTGATTCTTGCCATATAAGGGGGTAGTAAAAGTATAAGGTAAATATTTAAGTCTAAGTAAAAAATATGCTTAATTTTGGGAAAGGATTCAAGGTAAAAATATCATAGTAATGAAAGGAAGGGAATCAATCAATTTAGACAAAAGTGAGTAAAAATTAGGGTTTATAAAGGAACCCTTTGCAATCAGTCGTAACATTGAGGAAATCAAGATCAATCAAGAAAGAATCATGACTCTGCTTTTCAACATATGAATAACAAGGGATGGACAGGCATGCTAGACATGCAGGGTCAAACATATTGTCAAAGAGGAGCAAATTAAACATACAGCAGTAGCGGAAGTAAGCTAGGATTCAGTAGTAAAGAAACTTACTCGAAGCACAGTAGGCAACAAGATCAAGTAGTCATGGATCATACGTAGGGCCAAAGTGCAGAAATCAGTCTTAATTGCATAAATCAGTCTTAACAGGTAAAGAAAGTAAGAAACAAATAAAGAACTCATAGTAAAATAAGTGAGGAAAATCCTTTTAAGAAATTAGGGTTTATGCCATAGTCGAGTTAAAAATGGTAAGAACTCAGAACCAGGTAAGTCAAGCAAAACATGATTCAAACACAAAGGACTCAATCAAAACAAACATTCATACAAACAAACAAAAGACAGCTTCAGAACTCGGTTAAAACCCAAAAGTACCTAGGGTTTCAACAGGAAGAACCAGATAGAAGAAAAACATAAGCACATCGTTTAAACATAGTAAAACAACACTGAAAATCGGAGAAGAGGTCTTTAAGAAGAGTTTTAAGAAACCCTAATTTAAAAATGAAAAGTCACTTTGAAAGGAAATCGAAAAACCTTTTGGAAAACATCAAGAAGTTCATAACGTGCACAGATCTAAGACAGATCTGAAAGAAAATCGAAAAGCTCTTAAAGCTAGGGTTTCAAAGAACCCAGAGAAAGTGAGAAAGACTTTGAAAAGTTACCGATCTAGCCGGAAAAGTTAAGGACCTTACTTGAACAGCCATGGATGGCCGAAAAAAGACCAGAGATCGAAGTTGAGCAGGGATTGGACCAGATCCCTTCAAGATCTGTCCATGGAACCACGAAAATAGGTAACCAGTAGACATAGGAGACGAGTACATGCCTCCAATCACTATTGGAGTCCATGGATTAGGTGGGGATTGAAGGGAATTAGGGTAGATTTGGGTGGCGGCGGCTAGGGTTTAGGCGGTGTTGCAGAGAGAGTTTGACAGGAAGGGGATTCTAAGGCGGCGGATTGTAACAAATGGTAGGGTTTTGGGGTCGTTTGGGATTAATTAAGGTAAGGGGCGATGGTGGCCGTTGATCTGAATGATCAACGGCCTAGATTAAAAGGGTAGGTGGGGAATCTGGGTTCGGTTGGTTTTAAAGGGTTTAGGGTTCGGGTTAAATTAGAAATGGGATGGGGAATTGGGTTTTGATTTGGGGTTAAATTGAAAGCCAATTTAGGCTAAAATTTAAATAGCCACTTTTTCCCCTTTTAATTTATAAAAAATAGTAAATGGCTTCTGAGAATAAATTGAAAATACTAAAATACTTTATAACACATAATTAACAATTTAAAAATACCATACTCAATTTTATGAATATAAGACACAATTAAACCTTAAAAATGGCTAATATTGCAATTGTGATTTAGCTTTAAAAATACTAAATGAATTTGTAAAAATATGTAAAAAATTATTTTTGCCATAGTTTGGCATAAATATGAAAATTCAATAGATGAATTACCCAAATAATAATTTTGGACATAATAATTGGAATTTTATGGATGAAATAAAAGGGAAATAAATCAATTTAAAACCTTAAAAATTATAAAAAAAAATGCTTGGACATGCTTATATATGTATATATGCGCTATTTAGAAAGTATTTTGCATATTGAAAATATATAGGAAAAAATGGGTGTCAACAGCGGAGAGGGAAGCACAGATGCGTAGTTTGAGGTGAGGAAGCAAATGGTCGTAGGGGCGATGGTTTTCCCGTACCTACGTGACCGCAGATGCGGGCAGAGGGGCCGTAGAAGCGAAAGTGGCCGGTGTAGCTGGGCTCCACACAAGCGGATGTTTTTCGCAGAAGCGTGTCCGCGGGAGCAGAAGTTTGGACGTAGGTGCGGAGTTAGCCGCAGAAGTGGGCTTGGAGTCGCTCCTGTGAGGCTGCAGAAGCGATACCGCTGGGCAGAACCTATATAAATGAGGGTTCCGAAATTTTCACCATTTCTAACATTTTGAGCTCGGATATTGGAGATTTTGTAGAGGATTTTTAAAGAGATTCTTGAGGTAAGTTCCTTGTGTTCATTTTTATTCAATATATTTGGTTCCTCATTGATTTTCCCACCTAGTTGGTGTGTTTAAAGGTGAAATTTGGGGGTGTGAGGCTAGGGATTTGGAGAGTTGATTTTGGGGGTTTTAGTGGCGATTTGATGTCGGATTTTGATAAATTTGGTATGGCTAGACTCGTGGTCGAATGGGCTTTCGGGTTTTGTGACTTTTGTTGGATTTCAAGACGTGCGCCCGGGCCCCGGTTTGAGCCGATTTCGGATTTTTGAGTTATAACTTTGTAATTTCCTGTAGAATTGATTCCTTTAGCCCGTATTGATTGTGGTACTGCTTGTGGCTAGATTTGGAACGTTTGGAGGCCGATTTGAGAGGCAAAGGTGTGTTGGAGTAGAGTTTTACTCGGATTGAGGTAAGTAACACTTCTAAACTTGGTTCTGAGGGTTCGAAACCCCAAATTATGTGTTATGTGATTGGTACTGAGGTGACGCACATGCCAAGTGACGGGCGTGCACCGTGAGAAGTGTGACCTGGTCGATTCCATAGCACTGTATAGTGGTCCTATCTTGTTGATATTCGTGTTTTCACCATGTGTTAAAGTAATTGAGTTGTCAATCATGCTAGAGATCATGTTTAGGCTATATCCTGGTACTGTTGGGACTTGTAGTGGTCGTTTCTTGCTGTTGACTAACTGGTATCATTGATATTTCGTACTCAGTCATATTCATTCATTTCATATCATATCTCAGTCTTTGTTATTATTTATTGATACATCATATCATCATGTTCGGGCTAGTTTCATGACATTGTGAGCCCGTAAGTGAGACTGGACAGATTGATGACTGAGTGAGGCCGAGAGCCTGATCATGAGTGACATTTATGGGATCGGGTTGCACGCTGCAGCAGTTATACTAATTTATGATAGCGCTAGGGCGGAAGGAGCCCCTCCGGAGTCTGCACACACCCCTAGTAAGCGCGGTTGATTATATTGAAGGATGGATCTTCCGTGGACATGGATCTTGTCCGAAGCATTATATACCCGGAGATGGATCTTCTTCACGGGCCGGATTGTCCCTACTCGGTACTGGGTAACTGATGGTCAGTGATGTATATATTCCGGGATGGATCTTCCCTGGGCCGTATGGGTCATATACAGTTCGAGTGATTGAGCATTTGAGAGTGTGAGCACATGAGGCTGTCAGCATGGTGCATCACATAGAGCATGTGCAATGGCATGTAGAAGTAGAGGAATTATATTCTTCATGTCATTCAGATTTGATCTATTTTACTGTTTTGAGTTATCTATTGAACTTGAAAGCATGCCTACGTTTTTGCACTGTTATTTCTATATTGAACTGTGCCGGTTGAGTTCATCACTACCTTTCACTCCAGAGGTTGGATTTGTTACTTATTAGGTTGGTTGTACTCACACTACACCTTGCACCTCGTGTGCAGATCCAGGTGCTTCCGGTCATAGCGGCTGCTGAGTGAGGAGACAGGATCTCGGGAGACTATCGAGGTAGCTACATGACGTTCGCAGGCCTTGACTCTCCTTCATTATCTTTATTTGTGTTTTAGTTCTTATTCCTTAGACTTTGTAGTAGACTGTATCCCGGTATAGATGCTCAAGTACTCGGTGACACCCCGATTTTGGGAGAGATTTGTATTGCGTGGTTTATTTTTTGTTTTTAAAAAGGATTTTCTTAAATATTAATTGCTTCCGTATATATTTTCAAAGATTTTACTGTGTGGAGATGGTGGCTTGCCTAGTTCGACGATAGGCGCCATCACGACGGTTGGTTTTGGATCATGACAAATAACCCGTAGTGGATGCAATTGGAGGCCATGACGTACATCATTCGAGGAAGCAGTAGTATAGACTAGTACAGGACCTTTATAACTTTTTATTTTCCTTTTATTCTTCTTTTATTTTATTTAGGTTGAGACAACCTCGAACCTCTTTTTATGTTTATTTTTCTTTTCTGTGTTTTACCTCAATTCGAGTATTTTTAAAAGCCAACTAGATTATGTATGCAACCGTAAATTTCACGGACTTGGGGAATGCCTAATACCTTTTCTTCAAGTCAAATGAACACCCTTACTGGCTTACTTAGAATTTCTGGTGCGGACTATGTTTTAGAGTCTTAATGTGTTTTAAAAGGAAAAATTATTTTTTTAAATGGTCACTTGGCATACCAAAACCAAATGTCAAGTGGCGACTCTGGAAAATTCTTTTTAAATACATATTTTGTTACACTTTTAATTTTGATAACTCTTTCGCTCTTAAAAACAACTTTATCTCTTTTTAAAGAGGGATTAAGGTGAAAAAAGGGTGCGACAGGATGTGACTATAGCAATCATATCTCATCCTTAATCGACGGTCTGCCAATAATTAAATCAACAAGATGACTAATTTGTGCAGTTTTGGTTGGACAGTAAGGTGTGAAATATTTGCAGACCATTGAGCGAGGATGAGATAAGATTGCTTTAGTCACCAAAAAAAAATAGGAACTAAAATATCAATTCCTATTTTCATAAATTCACAAAGATTTCAAACTACGTATTAATTAACCTCAAATTGTTTGTGATGGTAATTTAGCTGTCTCAGGGACATTCAGATGCAATCGACGTATTTTATGAAACTACAATGATAATGGGCCTTTCAACAAGTGCTTTTTGAAGAGATTGGTCACACAATAGTTAATCACCATGCTATTATATCATATTGCCAAAGACTGCCTCTCCCGGTTCTTAAGCTGTCATTATTATTCATGTTATTCATGCTTAGGTAACACTTATGGGCCCTAGCGAGTGTCAAGTCGACCCCTCGTCACTACTTCTTCGAGGTTAGACTGGATACTTACTGGGTATATATTGTTTATGTACTCATACTACGCTTCTGTACTTAATTGTACAGGATTTGAGGCAGGTGCATCTAGCTACTCGCCCGACGCGCATTCCTGATACTTGATCGAGATTTCACGGTGAGCTGCCCCCTTCTGAGCCATTCAGCAGCATGCCGGAGTCTCTCCTTTTGTTATTACTGTGTATTCTATTTCAGGCAGTAGGATAGTTATATTTTTGTACATTCTACTAGTTGCCCTCGTACTTGTGACACTAGACCCTGGAACACACATTAGTAGACTATTATTTTTGGGTTGTAAAAATTATATTCATGATTTTGTCTAGTGGTTCTTGCATTGGTTGCTTTGAAATTTCATTAAATACTAAATGCTTAAATTTAAGTAAAACTTGTGGTTGAAAATTCTTAAATAAAAATGAAAATCACTAGGTTGTTCACAGTTGGCTTGTCTAGCGGCGGATGCTGGACCCATCACGACCTGATATGGAATTGGGTTGTGACAATTTCAAATCAGAAAGCGTTTTGAGTTATAATGCCAAAAATCATACAAAGAAATAAAGCATAATCTTAAAAGATAATTGATATTAATAATCATATCTTAAAAAATTAAAATTTTATTAAAAAGTCAAAGGAGAAGAAAAATTAAATTTTTAGGCATATAATACAGAAATATCAATTATTAATAAAAATTTGTAGATTTATAACTAATAAGAAAAAATTAAATTTATATTTTGGACGAATTCAAATGAAGATGTACAAGGGAAAAAAAATTCAAAAAAAAAGTTTTAGGAGAAAAGAAAATAT